AAACCTCAAAGTATCCTTCCTCTTCAACCCTAATTTCTGTATCCGCTGCTTCTGTAACATGTTTCCACAGTGGAGGTTTACTACTGCCGTCTGGTCCTTTTGGGAGTTGTCCGTTACTGACTAAAGTCCTCTTGATGTTCTTCTGACTTTCTTTAGAAAATGCGCTTATGAAAAGAAGTGATGCGTCCTGCTTCTTGTTCAAATGTTCATTATCCACGAGATATTTCAAGATAGTGGTGAATTTTCCCAAGTAAGCCTTGTACTCTTTGTAGTCCTTCAGCCCTCCCTTTCTGGAGTATTCTTCCACAATTTTGACCAAATCCGCCGTAGTATACAGAATAGTGTTGTCCAATTCCCCCCAACTCTCCTTCATTGCCTTCCTTAACTCCGTCCAGTTGAAGCTATCGTAACCTTCCATCGCCTCGAGTTCCAACTTCAATTCCTCCTTATGTACAAATCGTCCAATCTGTAACGCCTTTTCGGCCCTGATTATAAACCAAGTTTTTGGATTTCGGCTTTTTTTATTTGAAAAGTATTTGAAAACCAAAAAGAAATCAAAAAGAAACCAAAAAGAAGTTCAAACACTTTTCAAAAACTTCTCGAATACTTTCTGCACTTATAAACCCCCCGGGCCCAGGGGCCCTTCATGAGGGCGGGGGGCAAATACAGGGGGGGAGGAACAGCGCGAACAATCCCTTGTGTGATTTGTCGGTCCCAGAGGCCGGACTTCACCAGACAGATGGATGGAAACAGTCCCTACAAATAAGGGTCGCTTGCCGAGTGAGAAGCGACCCGGTAGTTTGTTTCTATGATGCGGTTAATGATGCTACTACGCGCATCGGGAATTCTCAAGACTTATGGTCAATAGGACAGCATGAACTACAAGGCTTGGCAATGATGAAGACAACATCAGGCATGAAGATAGGAATCGAGAAGGGCCCTAGGGGGCCCCAGTCGATTTTGGCGGGCTGAGGAGGTTACCGGTCGATTGCTTGTGAGATTCCATATTCCGTACGTATTTGTTGGCTGCAGGTGTGAAAATTTTGGCGGATGATGACAGGATGTCCGACTGGAGTGAGTTTGAGAATAGGCCTATCTGTATGACCTGATACATACCATACAGGCCAATACCAACTCAACTTGTGTATTGTTTGCAAAATTGAAGTTTTTGAGATCTCAAACCACCTCCGGAGGTGGTTTGAAAGTTTTTGAGTCAGTTTGAAAAGAAAGTAAGAAAAGAAAAAGAAAAGAAAAAAAAGTTCAAACTTCATTCAAAAACTTTCAAATATATTTCGAAAAAGCGTTTATAATCAGGGCCTTCGTAGTCCGATGCCTGAAACGCCAAAGCCGCTCGTTTGTATCTCGCTAGAAATCGTGTGAAATTGGTCCCATCGTAAACAAGTCCCGGTTCCTTGATGATCCTTGGTCCATATCTTCTCTCCGCCGGTTCACCATCTGATCCTCTTGCATTATGTAATCCATACCCAGTCACCGGAGGTTCCGTTTGCTTGGCTTGTCTCTGTGGTGTAGGATCTTCTGAGTCTGACATCTCTTCTTCAGCCTGTGGTTCTCTGTATTGATTGGCTGGCATCTTTCCCTTATCCTTCTTCATTGGTGGTGGCGGTGCCGTAAATCCTGTATTCCAGTTCAAATTCGATCCCGACGCAAATGGTCTATTTCCCAAAGGTGTTGTTGGAGCAAATCCATCTTCCAAATCTGGCACAGTATATGGTAAACTCATGTTGTTTCTGTTGACTTCTTAGTTGTTGTGATGTAATACTATGTTTGGATACTAATCCTACTAAACTCTGTTTTTCAATTCAAAAATGGTCTCTGGTCTCTTTACCGGGGCAAGTTGGGGGTTTTCTCAGTAACAATACTAGTAGCTGGGAGTGTTCTTCTAGCAGGATACGATTATCCAGATTCTTCGGTGGTCTTCCTTCTTCTGGGATATAATCGTCTGCTTCCTTCGAGTGGGCTCCGACGTTTGCTTCAAACAGGATCCAGTTATCCAAATCCTTCGGTGGTCTTCCTTCTTCTGGGATATAACTGGCTGCTTCCTTCGAGATACGTCTGTCAGAACTAGAGTCACAAATCTTCTTCTTCTTCTTTCAGAGTTTTAGTAGTTTTCGTTCGTTAATAGGTTCTATCACTTGACTATTCGATCTTCAGGTTAACTTGATGTTTCTTCTTTACTTGATGACAGTTGTGGTTGACAAATTTGTTCTTTGCAAAATCCTTCAAGAGTGTCGACTATCCGTGTTGATTCTTCTTCTTGCCGTTCTTCTAGAATTTGATCCTTCTTCAATTATACCGTAATCCGTATCACGTTGGGGACTCCCTTGTAAGACTCAAAAAGTGATTGTAAGATCCTTTTTGCTGAATGGAGAAAGGGATGAAATGAGCTGCAAACTCTGCCTTTCTATATTATCAGAAAACAAGACCACCAAGGTAAGCTTGGCAGTTTGGTTGGTGATAATGGATTATGTTCAAAGATGGTTGTATAATTGTTGAAGGTTGATCTTGTTGTCCAAAGAATTGATTGAGTTGTTGATGTTGTTTCTCGTCTTGATGTCTTGATACTCGTGCTCTTCCTTGATGCTGAATATGTATAATGTAATAGAGGTGGTTCTTGAACCCAAAGGGTCTGGGAGCACTATGCTTCAACCAGGACTGGAACAAAGGACTGGCTCTTCTGTGTAATGTTTGTGAAATGAACTGTGTATATATTTCAATCCGTGAACTGTACTACTCGTGAACTTCTTGTGTAATAAATATCTGTGACAGGTGTCCCACCAAAAATGTGTACTGAGTGGGATGAGGAGGAAAACAACTGGCAGGCAGAGGCCTCCTTATATAGTAAATTATGAGGGATTTTAGCCCCAAGGGACCCCCTGTATGAGGCATTTTAGCTGCCCTATCCTTGAAAATACTGAGGGATTTTGGCTAGACTATCTACAATGCGTCCCTTTTATATGTAAGCTGTAAGAAAGGAATTCATGTGTTCTGTGGCTGAATAAATGGGAATTTAACTGGTACAACTGGTGGCCAACTTGTGGTTCTGTAAGTATAAAAGGAATTCAATATGCAATATGCAATATACCCCCATGCAATATACCCTCCAGCTGAGTGCCTCTGATCCTGTGATTCTCCGCGTGACATCCTTGATTCTGCGTAACTTCTGATCCAGTAGAGATATGAGGGTGGTTCCAGTGAGTGACTAGGGGTTAAATTGGCCGTGGATTCCATTTCTGACGTCCATTTGTCCGTATCTTGAGTCCTTCATTGATAAATAATAAAATTTTGAATTTTCCTCCCTTCATACACAGGAATAATGACCACATCGGAGGGGTTAATGACAGGGGAATTTGTAACAACGGGAATAGACATCTTTTAAGATAGAAAGAAATAGAGAGTTACACAATAAGGATTTTGAGTTTACAATGTTACAACTATGATTACACAACAAAAATCTTGAAAAAAAAACTAGAACACGATGTTGGCAGAGGAAAGAGAAAGATGAAAGCTAGCGAAAAAAAATTTTCTTATAATAACTCAAGCGAGACTAAGGGAGTTTCTTTAGAGTCTTTCTAAAGACAGATTGATTAAGATGGCGAAATAATTGTAACAAATAAGGTCACAGCAGCCCAAGACAAGCAAACGAGGAGGTGATCCACAGTACACGCAAACGGATCGAGCTGGCTAACCCTTTTCTTTGGGATTCAAAGGTTTCTGGATTTTGATTACGGAAATTCGTTGTTTAAGGATAAAACAAAGATTTCGCCATGAGGAAAGAAACCCTCGAGGCGAGTACAAGTCTTTAAATATTTTTACCTAGCTACAACCCAAATGCGCTATTTACTGATTCTGTTATCGCTATCTTCTTACAGATTGATATAAAAATCTTTTTTCTTCTTTAATAAATCTTTACAGATTGATATAAATCTTTTTTCTTTTCCAATAGTTATTTTCTTGAATCTTTTCTTGAAAATTCTCTTCTTTGATACTATTTAAAGTGTCGAGCCATTTTCTTTTTCTCCTTATAAGAATGCCAATCTTTTTCTTTTTTGAATCCTTTCCTTACGTCATCGAACCATCTTTCTTAACTGAATTCGTTTTCATAATAATTTTTTGAATTTTGCTGTGTGCTGTGCTTGCTCGTTACAAGATGTCTTTGAGATGTCTTGACTGCAATCGTGTGATCAAATTACTCGCATCGGTTGTTGGCTTACCCCAACCCTGATATGTAGTCTGGTTTTGGTTGCATTGGTGAAATCCTGATGAATCTCGATTCTCGGAGTCTGCCTGCCACCTGGGGGGACCCATGCGGTATCCCATTTCCAATCGCTCGAGTCCCCTTTCACTTTGACTGTTTTACACCACTTCTCTCCTTTTCTTGAACGCTTCTTGCTTGAAAATCCAAACGTTTTGGTTAAATAACTCCTTTGACCGATGGCTCCCAGTAACTTGCAAGCACCCTTTGACTCACTCGCAAGATCCACGCCGAGCTCGTGATCCCGTTTGCCGTCCAGGCCATTGATCAGCCCCCATTACTTATGTACCCGATGGACTGCTGCCGACGGATTCTACAACCTCCACGGATTTCTTCGTCAACGGATTTGGCTGGAAGAGTGCTCAAATCTCCGCTATCATTCATTCAAAATCTGTATGTACAGCTGTTTCCAGACTCATAAATGCATATCGACGCTATGCATTTAGAGAACCAATTCCATTGAAAAATAATACATTTATTTATGTATGTACATAAACAATCTGGGAAATCATTTGTCAGGACTTGTCCATAGGAAAAAACATGTTGGATTCCTTTTTTTCCTCACCAGGGTAAGCAGTTTGGAGCCACAACCAGTTTAATCCAGATATAAGCCGTTTAATCCAGCCACTGCCTCCCTGTAAAGCCATACCCAAACCGACTGTCACTGGGTTTTGCTCTCGAGTCTCGACTGTGTGTGTTCGTTCATCCATCGATCTCTCTTCACCAAGCGGCAGTCAGCCTTGGCCCTCCCCCTCCGCGTTCGCAGTGCTTGGCTCAGTCGACTCCCTCCACAACTTCTTCATCATCAAATTCAATACATAAATATTTACAACTGCCATCCTCCCTCCAGCTTCCTCTTCAACCCAGACAGACCAGCCAGGACCCTCAACCAACGACACAGCACTCAAGCCTCCAACCAGCAAAAGACCAATCCTCAGATCGCAGAACTCGACCAAGAAAGTCACCCTCGATTCTTCAGACCCACTCCAAATCATCAGCTCGAGCTCGACAGGAAAGACTTGGGCCGGAAGCTGATCAGCAAAGACTAACCGACTAAAAACCCACTTCCACCATCTCAATCCCTACTCTGGTATGTAGGTCTTCATTCATTCATCTCTTTCTCTCCTTCTCCCCAAACCCCCGCCGTCAACATCATCCCTCCTCAATCATCTGTCCTCAAATCAACCGACTTTCTTTGTCAACCAAACACACCTGCCTACCCCGATTACAATCCCCAATTTGCCCACCAATCAACTCATCAACCCTTCCTGACCGAGAATCTGAACTACACACAACTGCAGATCCGCCAGATCAAGCATCATTAGCTTCTTATCATTATCTTTTTGTTTTGCTCCGTTCTACTCATCGATCTACATACTCTCCATCCGTTGATTTCTACTTCCTTTGCACCACCCACGTTGACTTCATCATCCTTCATTCGCTCTTATACTCCTCCATCTGGGTATTGGCTTATCCAGTCTCCGCTCCCAGTAGATGCCCACCAAGGAAACTAGTATTGGAGAAGCCTCTCGTTCGATCCCCCCCGTCAGTCGGTCCGCCCAACCCCTCCACAATCCGTCGGGATTCACATCGACAAGGACTCGATCCGTTGGTAACTATCATCAGCCTCCGTCTCATCAACTCAATAGCCCTCACCATCCCCCACTCAGTCCATCTCATCCCAATCTACTCTCCTCCGCTGCCCAAGTGCGTTCTAACCTGACCAACACTTACTCTAATCCGTCCGCTCGTCATCCACCCTATGGCGATCATTATCAACTCCTACCACAACCCCCACCACCTCCAAATCATTACCGACATCAAAAACCAAGCCCGACATCATCCACCCTGCCCCATCCATCCGATACTCCTTCCAAACAGACTCACCACCTTCAGAACCTCTCATCGCAGCACTGCTTGCCCCCCGAAGAACCTCGCAAGATTGCTGGCTTCAAACGTAAATCTTCGGCCTCCCCATCTCCTGAACTGCATCCAGAGAACAACAATCACCTCCACCAGTCTAACGACGCTCCTAACCGACGGACTTCTTCGGCCTGGGGTCTTTCATCATCACCACACTCGACTGGTAACCATCACTTGATTCAGTTGAGTAGTATTAGACAAGCAGATCCTCCTCCATTTACTTCAATCTTCGTCCGATTGCTAATCGTCTTTTCCGATCACAGTTCTCAAGATTATCACCAGTCGAGTTACTATCCAACTCAGCCGCAGAACTTCAAAGCGCTCCCCTCCGAAGCATGTGAATCAGTACCATCTAGTCTGGCCGGTCTACTGTCTACTACCCATCATCCAGGTGCTCCCCGCCCTCCAACCGAGCCTCACCAGATTGATGTACCTGATCCTACGCCAGTTGAATCATCAATGTCAAGGAGGGATCCTAACCGAAGTAGAGGACGAGCTACGATCAACAAACCTTCTACCTCACAAATCAACCCCCAGATCCACCACCCTTCAACACCCCTCTCATCCGCTTCCCAGCGTCCACTGAGTGCTGAGCAACAGTGGTCATCCCACCATCGATCTTCTGTTGGCTCTTCGCCTCAGATACCCCGCACCGCGATGTTATCGACACTCGATCCTGTTGAAGGATCGACTCGGCTAGCCTACAGCAAGCCATCCACACCACTCAACACCAATCAGACCCTACCCGAGCGTACCTCCACAGCCTATGGCCATCCCTACAGGCCTGAAAATCATCATAACGCCGGATCAAATGACTCACAACAGCCTCGTTCGCCTGCTGTCTACTATCACTCTTACTCTACTCACCGCCAGCCCCTTCATCATCAACATCATCAAGTCGTATACCCTTCCCCTGTCTCTCATGACCACCGACCCGAGCTTTCTCTCCGGACCAACTTTTCACAACCGGCAATCCGACATTCAAGCTTGTCTACTCCCGACGGTCATTCCCATTCGGCCCTATCTCCGTCTCGTGCAGATCCCGACCCCAAGCCCTCATATCGCCTCTCCCATCATCAGAGTCCTTCTTATGAACATCAATTCCTACATCCTTCCCAAAATCGACCTCACCATCCTGACACATCTCGTCCCTCTCCTTCAATATCCAACAACTCCTTGCCCTATCAAACCTCCCGCCCCTCCACCTCTTCCAGTCACACCAACCAACACATGTCGGTGGGTGTGGTGTCTCAACAGAGCAGGCCTTCGCATAATGTTGACTCGCCAACCGCTTCGCCTGATCGGCCGCGCCTCTATCAGCCAGAGCCTCGAAGAGTGGCTCCATCTTCTCCCGATTTACAACTGCAAATCTCACCTCGCCATCAAAATGCTGATCTATATCCCTCCCAAGCCCCAACTGAACGGCTCAGTCAGCAACCCTTCCGCTCTTCCCACCCACAGCCCCCTTCATCTGCCCATGCATCTCCAGATGCCCATTTCAACTCGCCCCGCCAATTCGATCATAACTTTGAACAGCTTCACTCGTCCGCACAAGGGCCACCTCGTCATCGTAGCTCGCGGTCAACGGATCTATCCAATCATGCCCAGCCCTTCCGTCAGCCACGTCCCCAGCCTGTATACATGCACGAGCTCTCCCCTAAGTTTCATCATCCTCCTGGACATTCTTCACAAGCAGAATCCAGCTTTCACCGGAATCAACATGCCGCCACAGAACGTCCACAGCAACCCTCATCTCATGAACCTGAAGGATCGCCTCGTGCGAGACTTCCATCGGACCGATCGGTTGGTGAACAACCCCGTTTTGGCCTGCCGCTGCCCGAAAATATCACCGTTCAGCACGCAACCTATCTCCGTCGAGAGCCATTGGCTAGTCCTACCGCTATGCCCCCACACCCTCCTTATCCCAGTCCATTACAGAGACAGCCCGTGTCAGCGCATTACGAGCACCAGCACCGTCAGAATACAGGTCAACATCGTCAAGTAACACAGATGAAACCACCCTCGACCAAGATTCTGAATTCTACCGTTATTGGGGCTGACCAATTCCCTGATGTTCGCCCCACCGTTGGATCTTCTCATGGTGCGCTGTCTGTTCATCAGGTGGGTCGGTCTCAAGCTCGCAGTAATGGACTCCCAACACCGCACGAATATCCCTTCGATATTTCTCAGGGGCTGCATACTCAACACAAGAATAACGGCATGGCCAGCAGCCATCCCAGGCGGAACTCCAGGCCCGGCAAAGTGGCGAAAGCGGACGAGCGCTCCAGTGAGTCTTGAATTACTACCAGATCCTTGCTAATCTGGCTGATGTCAATTCTACAAATATCAGATACATCAAATTTGCAAATAAGGACTCAAGCTGTTGCGCACACCGCCGAGATGCTCCCCAATTACGCCGACGCCTCAAATGCATCCTCATCGAACAAACCCGGAGGTGGCCGTGAGAAGCTATCCAAATCGTCACCGAAGGCTTCTCTGCTCGAACGACCGAAGTCCAAAGGGCTACCGAACGTTCCCCAGCCAAGGACCATGGCACAAGCAGGATTTTCAACAGGTCAAGCTCGTTTGAAGCTGTTAGTGTTACGAGTCTACGTTGGTACTCATTGCCTTTTTCGAACGGTTTCCATTTACTACAGATTCCAGGAAACCCAAATTTCCGCCACTTCGCCGCCCTTCTTCCCCATCCTCCAAGTATTCTCATAATAAATCTAAGGATGTAATCGAAGACGTTTCACCTGAATCATCACGGCCGACAGTTGCACCCACAACGACCGCTAGCATCGCAGAGTGCGACTCGTCGACAGAACCGTCCAGCACTGGAGATGAGGCAGCTGATGACATGGCAGATGATGGCGTAATTAGGTGCATCTGCTCTGTTACCACAGACGACGGCTTCACCATCCAGTGTGAAACCTGTGAGGTTTGGCAGCATGCAGTCTGCGTGAATGTGCCCATTGACGAGGTCAGCTTTCAACGCTTGCTTATCCGCAGAGCACCACTCAAGCTCATTCCACCTCCATTCTTTTACTCATGCGTATCATCATCACTTCCTGCAGGTTCCAGAACACTACTTTTGTGATAGATGTGATCCTTCTCCTGAGCGTAGAAAGCAACTGATCGAAATGGCCCCTCAGGCCGAGCGAATACAGCGGCAAAGAATTAAGAAAGAAGCGGACGCTCGTTCACAGGACCAGCCTACTGAGGAAAACTCGATTGCACACGGTTCTCCCAGCCCATCTAACCCACCAGGAGTAGATGAACAGGATGAATCGTTAGCTGATTCCCCAGCCGCCAGTACTGCGATGAGCAGGGTAAGTAGTGGCGTTTGTGTCAATGAATCTCTACAGGGCGAACCTTCCGGGCAAAGTCCGAACAGCAATGCCAAAGGGAAGACCAAGGCTGCCTCCTCGGGTCACCTTGAAAAGTGTAAGAATCCCTTACAAACCAATTTTGACTGACCTGTTGGTAAGCACACGCTCATGGCTTGCTTTACTCAGTACAAACAGCTGCGTATCCGGATAATGGTCTAGGTCTGTCTGGCTTACAAGACAGCCCCACGTCGTTGTCCGCGCCGCGAGTCGACGAATCGTCTTTGCCAAGGGAGCCAATTCCTCGTAAACCTGGACGCAAGCCTAATAAATTTTCTCAACCCAAGCCGCACGTATTCAAGCAACCTCTTGATCAAGCAATTTCAGGTTTGACAGGTAACAACATTCTTGATTCTGAGAACAACCCGTCGGCTGCGAATGGTGCCGACACAGATGACAAATACGAACCCTGGCGTTATGAATACACACCAACCCTGAAAGATCTGTATATGGATGCCGATGTCAAATCACAGGTTCAGCAGCTAATTATGCAATACATGAGGCTCCGAAGTTCGTGTGAAGATACCATTCTGGTTGGTTCAGACGCAGAGCTACCCGCTCAAGAAATCGATTCTGCTGAGAAAACCAGGTTGCCGCCTCCGATCAAACCCCTCTCAACTTCTACAGAACCCTGCAGGTCGCCCATTCAGGTTCTTGATCATCTCACACAAACCAGCGACACGCCTCTCAAGTCTCAACGGCCGGTGCCCCCGGCCTTCACCAGCACACAGTTCCTTCCAGTCACCATGTCCGAGCTTCCAACACCCTCCAGATTGATGATTAAGCCCATACCACCAGCTACCATCAACCTTTTCCCGTCCTTGGCAACCAATCCATTTTGTCCCACATTCTCTAATTCACTCAACAATTCATCAACCTCTTCACTGCCTCGATTGATCACTCACGGAGTTTTCAGTGCTCAGCAAATCCCTCGCGGTAGCTTTATTGCTTCCTTGACAGGCTCCATCACCACGATCAAAAAATATACTGAAGACGTGTATAATCAATATCCTAGTTTAGGTTGCAACAAGCCGTATGTAAAATTTTTCAAGTCAACGAAATTGGACAATCGTTTTCTTCGGGATGAAGATTCAGCACAAATCGATGACGGACTAGTGATTGATAGCAGACAATATGGTAACGAGATGAGATTTGTACGAAACGGCTGTCATCCTAATGCGTTCATCAACATCATCATGACACCTCAAGCTCCTTGCTCGCGTGACCCGCAGCCTCCTGATGGATCTGCTATATCCCGGAGTGGAACACCATCAAGTCGTACCTGCGCCTTTCCCACGTCTGGCTTGGATCGCCACCATCACTCCAATAACCTTTGGTCCACTGGCGGTTGGTAGCTTTCATGTTCATAGTTTCCAGTATGTTTCGAATCACCATTGACAAATCCGTTTGCTTATACCTTTGTAGACCGTGATCATTCCTTACCGTGGGAAGTATCATTTGGAATCTTTGCTGCAAGTGATATATCTCGTCGCGACGAAATCATTTTACCCTGGGAGTGGGATGATCAACATTTAGTCCACCTGTTGCCTCGATTGCTCAGTCATTCAATTACCTTCGAAGCCCAACAACAGCGGAGTCCTGCCTTGCCTCCTGTTCGCCTTCAGTTTCTGCCCTGGTCAACAAACGATCTTAAGCTGCTGAGCTGCAAATTAGCTGCTGTAACATTAACATTTTTTGGGTTGATGTTTTGCGGATGCGAGCGCAAAAGAAGTTGTGCTGTCAATCTCATGTGGAAGGTTGGCTGCTTGAGTGCAGGAGAGCCAATGTTTCCAACTCATCAAGATGGATCTCTTGACATTGAAGCTTCCGAACTGACGCCGATTACTAGCCTGAAGGAGCGACAGGAGACGCGGCTTCCTTTAACGTTTGAGGAAAGGCTTAGACTTGTTTTGTATTCGTTCTTAGAACAGCCTAACCCTGTCCCATTGAAGATCAGCCGCCATCCCAATTCCGCAGCCAACCCACCGACTATTAGTCGGCCAAAGAAGCAGAAGGTTGACTTGGGTCCTTTGCTTGGATTGAGGCGAGACTGGTGGCTCTATCCACCAGTCAAACCCGAGCAGGCTGATACATCCCAGTTGGATAAAACGATAACGAAGAAACAAAAACGGCCAAGGAGTCGAAGCGTCGCCAACCGCAAGCCTTCAGTACACAAGATTCGGCGGGTGAGTGATGTTGGTGAACTACGGCAGCCAGGCTTAACTATGACAAATTCACTCCCCGAAAACAAGGTGTCTTTGCCTGCGGTCGAAACTAGCCAAGCTTCAAATCTCCATCCAACGAGTTTAGCTCAAGCCGAGCTTCCTGTGACAGATCCCGACAGTCAAACCAGCCTCCAAGCTCAATCCGCTCAACCAAGCCACCACAACATTCCTCTATCATCGCCACCTGCATCGCAGGACCCATCTCATGTTAATCTTCAGTCATCCACCGCTTTACCAGTGACCGCACACGATACATCACAGTGCAATTTGACTCGCCAACAAGAGGATCGTGACACAAGGCCGGAGGATTGTGTAAGCGAAGGCATGGACGCATCATCACGAGTGGTATCTCAACTCAATCAGGTTTTTCAATCGGAACTGTCGACAGTAGGGGACGAAGACCTGCCCGGTCAAAGTGTTCAAGCTTGCGAAGCTCAGTCAGATGTTCAAACAGCTTTCGAAGCCAAGCCCTCAATGGAAGTGGCGACAGACAGTCAATTAGCGGCATCACAAGAAAAACACACGTTGCAGGGAACTGCTGACCTTCCAGAACGATCCTCACCGCACGTCGAAGCCGATGGACCACCTTGTCCACCTGCAGATGTATTGTTTGAACAAACAAAACCCTCGAGTCCTCCTGAGGAAGGGGAAGTTCAAGAGGAAGAAGGTTACTCTCAAGAAACGGCTGAACAGCTGCCAACGCACAATTCACCACCTGGCCCTACCCCTGGTTATCAGTTTCCACAGTCTGTGTCCGATGCATCAAAACTGGAGGAAATCTTTCAAAGGGCACCAGGTGTCGAGCCCGAACCTGGGGACCCTTCAGAAGCCGGCCACAGAGGCCAAGTCATTGATGGCATTGTGAACACTATGGTACTAGCAAGTGACCCGCCGTCTCAATTCAGCCCTCAGAATGAAATTCGCAACCCAGAGAACCAGAGACACACTCTTGAATCATCAATAACCGAATTGCCTTCCCCCGGACAAGTCGACGAAGCTATTGTCACGGATCATCATCTCGTCAATGTTTCTGGCCCACGAGATTCACCTGGATTTGACGCTCAGCATCACGAGACGGATGGCTCTGCTGGAGCCCCACCTGATCGAAGTCACGTTGCCAAGATCCCAATTTCTTGCCAGACATCTCCTTCGGAACTGGCAATCTCCATTCTTGCTCAAGATGTGAGTCAACCACCCGGATCGGTTCCAGATCTAACTCCGGAGCCCATGGTCACGTCCCCAAAAAGTCTCGGCGTGCAAGAGTCACATGTTTCTAGTGTCACCCAGAACGACAAGCCTGATTCAGCTACGAAAACGGATTTTTTTCGGAAATTGTCGGAGCCGCTGTGTGATGTAGACACCAGTGAGGTTGGAAGAATTGAAGGCGATGATTGTGAAGCATCAACGATCGAAAATCAGGGCGCAAATCCGACAGCTGACATTGTCTCCAACGTTACTGACCAATTGATTTCCGCCGAAGAGGGTAAAACTTTAGATCTGCCATCCCAAACAGGAATTAGGCCATCACCCGATTCACTGCTTTCTCCACCTCTCAATCAAGCTGTAGAACAAATGAGGGCTGATTCCCCTGCAAGACTTTCCCAGCGATCTGTGAGTACAGGCTGTGAATCACATTTCGACGCTCAAGGTACGTTTGTATCCCTGTCTTTATTCTTGTTATCCAGAAAAGCCCCCACTTCACTAATTCTGTGTATTCGTAACAGATGAATCTGCTCTCAGTCAACCGTCTGAGGCATCTGAGGAGCAATTGCTGGATTCAGATGCTTCGACGACCATCTTGGGCTCAAGTGACGAGGAGATGCTGTCCTCACATACCCCCCGCTACCTAAATAATCGGAAGCGCATCAGGAGTAAAAATATTCTCAAGCCTCCTCCTCGGGTAGCAAATGGTAAGAAGCCCGGCTCTATACAAGCTCAGCGCTCAAGCGGCCTTCCGGCGGGTAGTATGACACGTTTGAACAAACCCGAGGTCCAGGCAGTCAACAAGCTCAAGCCACTCTCCGTTGGTTACCCAAAAGGTAATAGTAACAAAACCAGTAGCCTCTCCGATTTAGATTCGGATGACGACACGCGAGACAACTCGACCGATCCAGTGGCCAAAGAATCCAGCTCAAAGATGCGCCTGATTATCAGATCCTCATCGCCCTCGGAAAATGAGGTTGATCAGCTGGATAAAGTAACGGACAGCAAACAGCGACGACGCTCCAAAGTTTCACCCATCCCTTCGTTGTCCTCAGCTCCTGATCCTACTTCAAACTCCTATGCGCATGCAGTAGCCAAGAAGATGGAGCGACCAGGACCAGCCCCTGCCTCAATCTCATCCGTGCCCTGTTCTCTAGAGTCCCATCCGTATCAAAGAACTAGCAACAACGGCGCTGTCAAGTCAGCTGAACAAATAATACCAGACCATCCCGATCACGGCGTCCCAAATGCCCCTCCAAAGCCAGTTGCAGTCAATTCAACCTTTGGTGTTCCTGAGCGGCCGGAAAACACTTTCTCGGCGGCAGCGCTTCCCCTGGCTATCATTGAGAAGCAAGAATCGGACAGCCCTGAACCAAATGGTCAGGGAAGCTCTATCAGCATCGATTGTTCAGCTGATGCACAGCTATCTGACCTTCTGCCTGACCCCAATATACCTGCTCCTGAACTCAATCCACCAGCTGATCCTTGCAAGAACACCAGCCTGCGAAGCCCCGTTGAAAAATCTCAAGCTCAGTTGAAAAAAGCAGCCCCAAAACGGATCAGTCTGAAAGACTACAGGTCCCGCAAAGTTAGCGAATCAGTCGTTATTACGCCCCTCGCTAATCCTCTGATCCATTTCACAACTAAGCGACCAACTCCGACAACGCCAATTGAAGAATCTCAAAGGAAGCAACCACCACCTCCACTCGTTCCCGCCTTGCCCCCCTTGCTGCCTCCATCTTCACAGAGCCAGCCTCTTCTGCCCTTGTCCCCTCGGAAACTTGAATTGGTAGCATCAGTTCTCAAAAAAGAAGAAAAAGATCGTGCTCGATCATCAAAAGATGGAGAATTGAAGTCTGAGGACAGGATACCTGAGGTAGCTACCACTTTGCCCAAGTCGCCATCATCTGCGACAAGGGCGGCTCCTGATGATAATGCTGAGACCTGTGACGTGCCTGTTAAAGAGGTAGACTTAAAGAAATCCCCAAACCAAACAGGTCAGTTGTGCATGCACAACTGATATTTCATCATCCCGAGGAAGCCCAAAGACCCATGTTAAACTCAAAGCGTGATCTTGTTTTTTTTTTTTGTTATAGCTGTAGGACTAACTCGAATAAATTCAGAATTGCAACAAGTCAAGATCAGTTCTCAAGATGGTGAAGGCCCTGTGGTAGGCGCATACGAGGACGATATCGATGGTGTAGCAATTGAGTCGATGTCAACCCCATCGGAAGATGAGCTCGACGATGAAGGGCGTCAACAGGAGGGGCTTGTTCATAGAGAGGAACCAGTATCCAATCAAGAGCAGCAAGAGATGCTCGGTCAAGAGAAAGAAGAGGCGCGCAGTGAAAAGAAGCAATTGCCCGATCAAGCACAGCAAAAAAAGTGCAATGAAGTCATACAGAGGGTGCTAGGGGAAGAAGAGCCTGAGCCACCGAAGGAAGAGCAGATGCCTGCCACGAAACAGGGGGAGAGGCTACAAGTACAAAAGCTCGGCGTTGAAGAGTCACATTCTCAGCAAAGAGGGCCTGACCGCTCAAGGACAACCAATGCTCTCAAAGAAACCAAGCTACCGGTTATTGACGAAGCAACTCGACAGCCAATACGAGATGCAAAGATAACTGTAAGTCACCGCAAAAACCACCTAATCACTTTCTTTTGCTAATGTTGTTTCATCCCCTTAGTCCCCTGTTTCTATCGAACACGATGATCAGATGGAGGTCGACGATGTCCATAGCTGCCCTGAGATGAAGACTCTTGCACCAGATCAACCTTTACCGCCTCGTCCGGCGGAGCACATTGTTCGTGATGATGAGAAGATATCAGATCATACTCCTGCGATAAAAGCTGAGCGCGCTGAATGTCCAACGAGCGTTGGAACGGCTATTCAGTCAGTGCAACCCGAAGACAATGGTGAGGAAGATATGGACATTTCGCCCACCGTTGTTCAACATCCGCCGCCTCCCAAACCTCGTCTCTCATTGGCAGATTACCGTCTACGCAAAGTACGAAGGCCGTCTGTACCGGAAGAACCTCGTCCATCCCAATCGATGTCGCCTTCCGTAACAGACGTTGAACTTTCTCGAGTCAATCGACAATCATCGATTGCAAGTCCCCAGTCACTCCAGCAAATTCCTCTCCAGAACACTCAGCCAAGCCAGCAGGAAACTGAAAATCAGCAAAGCAACACATCATCATCATCGGCCCCTGTTGCTGATGAAGCCCGGCAATCGCCCGCGAGTTCGTCTAGACCTAATCAATCGCCACTTCCATCTCAGCAGTCAGAACACAAGCCAAATGTGGATAATGCTGAATTGACTGACACTACTGTGAATGCTACCACTGACTTGTGTCCCACAGATACAAGCATGTATTTCCCTCCCATATCACCTTCAATTTTGATGGCCGTGGAATCTCCTCGCTCACCGCAAATGAAATCATCTCCCTCGCCGCCCGGTTCGCCATCTGAAGAAACATCCGTTGGTCACGCAAATCATCTTGCCGCTTCTTGCCCCCCTTCACAACATTCACCAAGCCGGACACTGCTAGATTTTGCCCTTGCCGGTGATTTGAAGCCTAGGATCACAAACCAACCCATTCTTCCACGTTTGGCACTAAGCACATCCAAGACGTCTGATCCTGAGACGTTGAATGATCGGCCACCTGGCCAAACAGCCTTGTCTGCCCCCGAATCTATAAGCACTCTGTCGCCTTCTCATCGGCAATCTTCCTTAAAATCGCCGTCTACCAGCTCCACCAGTCAGGCCAATATATCTCAGTGCAATCGCCCTGATCATCCCAAATCTTCCCCTTCGGTTCATCTTTCATCGCTTCCTGTTGCCATGCCTTCAAATGCCCTAGTCCATCAACATCAGAAACCCAATCCAGCTGTAAATGGTGGCTCACAACCCACTCCTATTGGCTTCAATGCACCCAATCTTCGAGTTCAAACTCCTTCAGAGGGTACTTTCCCTGGCCCCCATGGAGATCAGCCAGTTACACATCCTCCGTCCTCGAGACTCATGCAAGGTCCATCTAGTCAGCGGAGCCCTACGATTCCTTTGTCCCCTCTGGTTTATAAGCCTAGCATTTCGCCTGCCTCCCCTGCCTCTGCTGAGCTCCAACCCAATTCTCGAGGCTCGTCCAATATGCCCCACGGTCTGAATCGCGATCCTCCTAGTAGAACCCTTCGAGCCCCCCCAAATCCAAATTCATCACGCGCCTCATGGCCTCCTGAATCCGCAGGGCCTTCTAGCCATAACAATCATCAGTACTCTAGCCAAGGTCCAACAGGTGCCGCGCATGTTGCAGTCACTACCAAAAATTTCTCAGACATGCCATCAAACCCCACTTTGCCCCCCCATCCGTCTCATTCCGCTGGAGCGCCAAGAAACTCCCCCTATCATTACCCTCCTCATCGTGGTGGTGGGGGTTTTGCGCCCATGCGACATTTCTCCGGGCATCGGGCTACTACTACCCCAATCATGGGTACCTCTGGCCCTGGTCCCCCTGGCACATTTCGTCAATCGCAGCAAAGTAGCAACGAAGGTATTGAACGGGCTAGATATGACGGTAAATATGATCCCTACTTTTCAATATGTCATCACCCTCTATCTACCAGAAACAAATCCTTGTTCGGGGATAAATATTTTTTAGTATGAAATACTGACACTAATCACTAATGTTTGACGTTGCTTTGTCACTCTTAGGTATGCTTCGGGGCCCAATTCACAGTCATTCTTCCAGCTATCCTGTTCGTGGTAGGGCCAAAGTGAGAGGGGTTGGCCATTCGTCATCATCATATTGGCCATTAGAGAACAATCCAGGTGGTGGTGGTGTGGGTGGTAATGTGAATGGTGGTAATAATAGTGCTGGTCGTGGGTTCGGTGGTCCTCCTCGGAATGACCGTTGAATCTAACTGAACATACTGCTTTCAAGTGTGGAAGAAAAATGAGTAAGTAGTGGATGCATCTCTGCTACTGCTACTAGTCTCCGATAGCTGTTTTTCAACTTTGTGTTTTGTCTAACTATCTCTATCTTCAATGGAGTTTTGTTTTGATCTCTCGTCTATGAAATCCGTTGATCCTTGAGCTCAAAGTAAATATACAATAAATCTTAGATATATATATATGTAGGTATATCCATAGCGTCTTACAAGCGCATTTCTTCCTTATAGTTGTGTTTATCTCTCTGAACTTTCTCATTTATATTTATGTTTATGCAGAAACTCTTAAGGTTTTTTTTTCTCTGACATTTTTCTTTTTTTTTTCTTTCTATACTTGCTTCTTTCATCAGTGTCTTTTTGTTTGTTCTTTTCTTTTTTGAATGATTTGTAATAATCAATCTATTTTTTTCTAATTATCACCATCTGATATATATTTATATGTTCATCATTATCAATCATCTTCATTATCATGCTCTTGTTTCTGACTCTGGTATATACAATTTTATCTCATCTCATTTTGCTCTCACCTGTCCAGAAAAAGAAGATCAAATCGATTTAAATTATGTGGTAACCACAGGTGGAGCTTTTCTAGGTCACTCAGGATTTCAAGAGACCTACGTGTTTGAACTTTGGAGAGTGTTATCTTGAAAATTCTCAAGTCAACCTCAGTTGAAATAGAACTACATAGTCTAATATTCAGGCAAACTGTTGAATGGGGATTGTTACAGTCATGGGCCTATCAGAGGTCCCTAAAATGACAAATTTGTAACTCAAAAATGTACTTGTTTAATCTGACTTGAGGATTGTTCATGATCGAGCTGGAGGCTAGGAAATCACTGCTGGAACATATTTCCTGATCCAAAATGGTAACTGATCACAACCCAAGCACAAAAAAATCTTGCTCAACTTTCACCTGCACCACATGGCTGCCGCAGCCCAAGGATAGCCAATGATCCTGGTCATTCACCTAACCCCCTGGCTATATCCAGTTTCCTGGCCTACATACCCCGGGTTGGTAGAACCGGTTCTGATGTCCATTCAGTTCCGGAACACCAGCATAGGTTAGACAAACTGAGCTCACTTCCAATGACATGTACGCCTTTTGTGAGTAGTCGCACTGTACTATCAGCAGATCATCACCCATCTTCAGGCCCATGATCACATGAGCCCGAGGTTTATTATCATCTTGGCAGGGCTCTTCCCTATGGGGCCAGTAATCCGAAGGGAGTTTGAGCTGAGAATGCTTCCTAAATAGCACGGAAGGGGCTGAGGGCGTGAATCGTAGGACTCGGTCCCGACTTGCGGGATCTCAATCTGAAGACCATCAATTCCGCGAGCACAATTTATTTAGGCAATTCCCTGTTTCGGTGCGGATACCTATCCTCATTAGATACAGGGTGGAATTCGATGACATCCGGCCCATTCCGCTCGATTGACCGGATCGAAGTGTAATCCATAGATACTCCTTTCAAATACTCCTTTGAAGGATCTGCGTCTACATATACGTCATCCGGCCGACCGGGCCAAGGGAGGTCAAGCAAGCAGCAGAAAGAATGATCCTCGGCCTATGTATTTACCCTTGTAGCTCCAAAAGCACGAGCTTCTCTGGCCGCGGACCGGGGTCCGGCATGACCACCTTGATCATGAGATCAGAGAGAAGTCAACCATCTGCAGGGCGGAAGAGAAGAGAGGAGAGAAAAAAAAAGCAGTTATGGCAATCTTACAGGATATCTTATTTTAGTCTTCATTCTTAAGCTATGTACATACTAATCTTAAGAAAGACAGTTGAGCTTTCATCAGTTAGCTAACTTAGCGCACCTGATTAGCTTGATGTTTACTATAAATAGAAACTTCTCCTGATCAGTGAGACCCACAAAACTCTCGTCCCTTTGATGATGATGAGTTGATTCCGTTCTTCCCTCCCACAACCAATATTCCAACATCCACCATAATCCGGACGAAAGTTCCTCCATCAAACTCATACACAGTCTTCCTGATCCTGATAGCCTACCTTCATTGAGCCTGACAACCGGTCCAGGATCACAGCTCGTTCTCTACAAACTGGTCAGGTACAGCCCCACAGTCTTCTAGACAGCTCACCAAGACCCCAGTTGTGTCCTTCGGAACCTCTTCATCACACCGTGTAGAACATATGCTATCCAAGACATCTAAACCCACGTCCTGGAAAATTTCAGATATCGCCGATCTCAGTGGTAAGCATTCCGGTTAATACATATTAATTGTCTCGTGTGCACATTTTATTGCTGTTGACGCGAGACGCTTCTCTTGTTAGGCCGGGTTGCCATTGTGACAGGTATGTAGATCATTGGAAATGTTACAATCAGGTAGTTTTTCTGAAATGCGTTCTGCACTACTTATTCTAGGGGGTAGCACTGGCACCGGTTATTACATCGCTCTTGAGCTGGCTCGAAAGGGAGCAAAAGTGTAGTAAGTTAGCATTGAATAATCGTCAATTTTCCTGTCGTCCATGACCAGGTGGCTTTTGTGATGTTAGTAACACGGACGAACTATATAACAGTTTGGTTTGCAGAAATGAAGAGCGAGCCCAGCAGGCCATCACCTCCCTTCGCGAAGAAGTGCCTAATGGATTATTTGATTATATCCACTTCGATTTGACGAGACTCCGAACATGCAAAGATGCTGCTAAAACCTTCCTACAACGCGAGACGCGGCTCGACATCTTAGTCAACAATGCTGCTGTTGTAAGTACTAAGCATTTGTCAGGTGCATTTCTAGATAGATGAAGCTTGACAGATTGTCCGTAATCATAGAGACGCTGCTCGTCTTTCAGTCTTAGCGAAGATGGCGTAGAAATCCAAGCATGCAACACCGTCGGCCACTTCTGTTTGACAGATCGCTTGGTTCCGTTGATGAAGCGGACCGCGCAAAGTGCGCAAGGACATCACGTCCGAATCGTCAACATGACAAGCGTAACCCATAAGCTGAACAGTGAACCGGACTTCACTAATTTGCAAGGGTTGAATCAAAGGAGATGCTCCGCCTTGGAAAGGCACGGCAATAGTATGCTTTCCGTTAGTCTCTTTTTCTCCCGTGAACAACCACCCTCCTCATCAAACCCTCAAAACTAATCCTATCCTTCGCTCAACAAAAAACACACATACATAGATCATAATTTTCAATCAGGAACTACAGAAACGTTTGAAAGGAACGGGAATTTTGTGTCTCGCAGTGGTATGCTCATGTCTCATCTTCGAAAAAAAAAAAGCATGTGGATCAAACACATAATCTGAGCACCTTTTTTGCTACTTTTATCAGCACCCAGGCTTGGTCAGTGATCAAGTCCTACACAGTGAGTAGGATGTTCATTTTGATCCTAAATCTTCAAAATCAGTCACTTCAACACTTTCTCCCATTCGCTCTGAAAAGATATTGATTGGCTTCCATTAAAATTGCCTTACGCCTGATACCATCACAGACAGCAAGAAACTACGCGAATTGGCCATGCTGTTGATCCCCCATGTAAGAGACGAAATCCACGCTTTCAATTCTTCACAAGGTTGGCACTGATTTTTATCATAAAAAAAAAACAGAGGGGCCCAAACTCACTCATTGTTGAGGCCAAGCATGCAGCCTTCACGCCGCTGTATGCTGCTATCGCCTCGGAAGTAGAGACGCTGCAATTAGGGTAAGTCAGATGATCGGACAACCTTTCACGCCCAATTGGAAAACTTTCAAAAGGATTGACCTTGGATGGCCCTTTCCGTGGCACCCCATCTTCTTACCGATTCCCCTATGCCGGTACACCCACGAAAACAGAGGATCCTACTTAGTATCTCCCGGGAGACCAGCGACTCCTCACCACAACGCGAGAGATCCGACCGGAATAGCCGGCCAAAAGCTGTGGGCCACGTGTCTCAGGCTATCGTATCATCCTCATGGACTGGGCAGCAGGTCGGCAAAAGCCTGCTATAGAGCTGTTTCGAACCCACACGGACCAGAACAAGACGAGCGCTATGCGTGTTCTTGAACGATTTCCGCCATCATCACTGTGAATGTAAGCCGTCGAATGTGTCTCTTGAACAGCCGGTTTGTAGACGACTGCTTTATCTAAAATTTCCTGTCTTCATCTCTTACCATAGCCCAGTTTTTAGAACACAATGCCGACCCGTCTGACCAGGACGCATGGGTATCTCAGTGTCCATATCATGATCGAACAATTATCTTAACTAACCAGTGTACTACTATTGTATGATCTGAGCCATTCCATCTATTCATGTGTTTACTTGGGACGTTCAATTCCTTGCACTTCTCACATTATGCTGTAAATAGCTTCCATTTCGCAAGTTTTTAACCATCTCTATTTCTCATGTCTGGTAATATTGTGAGTTGCGAGCCAACTCGGTTTTAGACAGTCGTAGTGAACTCTGTAGCTTATACGGATCCGTTATAGAATCATCACACATTCTCCAACTTCCAATCACTTGTGTCCGGACATCTGCACACAAGTCAAGAATCGATAAGACCGATTGAGAAGCTGGACAAAATGAGCTTTCAGCAGTCGGATCTTACGTTTGGATGCAACTGGTGGATTTCAAAGAAAAAAAAGATGTCAATTAGAACAAACAATGAACCAGTCAATTCCGAGGAAAATTCAACTCTCTATGAGGGGAATGTCCGGTGTCTTGCGAGGGAGGATGATGACACTTCAATTTTCATGAAAATCGCTAGGAAATTGTGGGCAAAAACATGATACTTGCTGAATGGTCACACAACAATCAAGATCACAGATCATATTCTTTCTTCTCTTTGCCCTTTCCCTTTTTTTCGGGGGTTCAAGCTTTACTTGATAACTGTAGATTGGATAATCGTGAATACCTCTGGTTTATGATTTATTTCCGCAAGGGTCTTACTTCCCTCCAACCATTTTTTCCCTTTTTTTCTTCTTTGTCCGGATACATATTACATTGCGCCAACCCAGATTTCAAATGAGTTTAGAATAGAACGTAGGTTGTAGAGATCTCTGGAGAAAGTGAAGGCAGAACAGCATTCCTAATATAATATATGTGAGCATCCATCATTTGAAAGAACAAAAACAAAAAATGTTGAAAGCTTTTAATCAGATGTGATGAAGGCCTGTTGAGGTGAGGTGAAGTGAACCTTCAATGGTTGGAATGACAATACACATCTCTCAAAAATCCAGTGTCCCAAAGATGCATGAGGGCAAGATTGTCTTTTGGAGATTCGATTACATACTACTTGACTTATACAAGCCAGAAAAATGTTTGGCTGTTTTTCCCCTATATTGACAGGGTGAAGCCTAATGATATCATTTTGCAGGGTTTTTTTTGTTGTTCTTTTTTGGAGAGTATGACAGATGCAATCCTAAACCTTAACCCAGTATGTAAAGTGGTCCCAGAGATTAGTAGAGACTTTCCTGGGTAGTGCAACATAAGATTGGATCCAATGATTGGAGAGCTGTAATATGAGGATCATATCCTTTACAGACGCCCTGTGCATGTAGCGGGATAACTCTACATATACGTAGCACTTCCTCTGAGAATGCACCCAATGAATTTCACGCGGCCAGGCAGTTGACCCTTGTTTTTTTTATTATCGTGCTGTCTACCATATATAAAAAAAAAGAAACAAGGAAAGCAATTGTTATTATATGAACAGGAGGGTGAGTGGGTCGGGGGCGACTACATCAAGATGGATAGGCAAGGATGGTGGTGGTCCGAGTTCCAGACATTTCAATGAACACTGGAAATCGTTTTTTTTTTCTACTACATATGCAACTAATTATAGATGTGTTTTGTTTTCACTTTGTATCAGTATCAATAGAAGGAAAGTCAGGAAAAAAAAAAAGAAACACCTGGGGTTCAGGTTTTCCCTGAGGGGTCTATACGTTTATACCTTAGCAGAAATTCCCTTCTTCTTCTTCTTTCTTCCTTTTTTCAACTTTTGGCGAGTGATTCGACAACTTCAGTGATCGCTTTATGAAAGTCCTTGACCACTTGGTCCGATGCAGGCCGGACTCTGTACGCCTGTAAGTGGCTCCCCTCGGGATTGAAGCCCAAAACTTCTAATGAATTTCCTCGGTCTTCCGGCTTCAAATCCGGCCTGACAAAGAAGTTCTTTGATAAACAAAAAGAGAAAATCAAGATCAAGTAGATCATCAATATCAGTGAATAGGTTCTCTTGTGCCGACAACATCAGGACATGCAGAGATGTTTTTTTGGTTTTTAGAAAAAAACTAGTAATGTGAATACTGACAATCAAGATACCCTGGTTGACTTGACTCCTAGCCAAAATCCGACATCGTTGAGTCTCTTTATGTCGGTTCAACCTGACATTGCAAATAGCCCATCCGACCCAACCCTTTTGGACCTTCCCGTCCTCCTGTTTTTTGTCCAACAAAGCATAAACACGGCCGGTAGTTTCGAAGAGAGTTTCTTCATCCTCTTCTCCCTTCTTTGAATCGACGGCTTTGGCTTCCGTAGAAGAAGTACCCAGATCATCCGAGCCTTCTTCTCCCGCCAAGTTCTCCGAGCCCGCATCAGGCTTCTCATTCCCAGTGGAGGTTGAGATAATATTGGTCGATCCGGGTTCGGTGGAAGTGTTTTCAGATGGTTTGGGGGTTGAAAAGACAGAGGAGGTTGGTGGACTGCTACCAAACGAGAAGCCGACGGGGTTGAATGCGTTCTTGGGGGGAGTGGCTTGGCCGGGAGCGCTCTTTGGAGAACCAAAGCCACCAAAGGCACTGCCATTTCCAGCGGCTCCTATCCCAAAACTAAAACCTATGCTGGACGGTTTGGCCGTTGAGTTCTGTGCCGATAAGGAAGTATAGCTAAGTGGTTTCGATGTAAAAAAGGGGCTGGGAGCTGAAGTTCCAGCGGCAGATGGACCGGTGACCCCAAACAGAGAAGTGGTCTTGCTCTTGCTTTCTGATAGAGGAAGAGGCACGGTTGAGGAGTCATCGGTGTTTGCCTCCTTTGGATTTGGTTGCTGGTCCGCGGTATTCGCAGTTGATGAGAGCGAAGATTCAGGTTTGGAAGCTTGGGTGATCGGGGCTAAACTGAAAGCACTCTTCGCGGGTTCTTCGGCAGATTCCGGAGCCGGGCTATCTGCCGGGGATGTCTGACTTTCGTATCTCAAGGGCGACGGTCGCATGGGTGCAGCCATAGTAAACGCGCCCGGCCTGGAGCCAGCCTTTGCACCTGGAGCTGCTGAACCGTTGGCAGAAGCTAGAAAAAAAAATGTCGAAAAGCTTGGGTCAATAATAATCAGGGCAATGACTGATGAGAGGCTAGCGTATTTGAAAAGAAAACTGACGCAAGCTGAGATTGTCGGCCTCATCAGAAGAGGGATGTACCTCGGGTGCAGACACAGTTGGATTTTCAACACTGGAACTTCCTTCAGATGATTTCTGGGCATTGCTCGGTGAGAAGGAGAACAGTGAGGGTGTAGTACGAGCTTCACCCCCAGCAGAAAGGGTGGGTCCAGTGCTTGATACTTTTGGGGCTTCATTTGATGCGAAATTAAAAGGAGATTTGACAGGCGCCTCCGCAGTTACAGATGTGATTGCTTTATCGGTCTGGGACGGCTGCGATCGTTCGAGTTGGGCCTCAATCTCACGACGATGTTCATTGTATTTCTGCTTGACATGGTCGAAGGCGCTACCGAGATCCATGAACGCGTCTTTCTTGATGAGTTCTTCGAATGCCTTTGTGACGGATAGATTCAGACCGCGTAGGGATGAGTAATAAGTGATCAATTCCTGTTTGTTCGACGGGTCAGTCGAGTTGGGTGAGTTTGACATGGCCGATGGAGCAGTGCCAAAAGCAGTGGGTTTTGCTAGGATATTGGCATAAACGGGTTAGACAACACACGGCGAACCTTGACCAGCTCAAAGAAAGTATGGTGGACTTACTAGTCCCAAAACTACTTGAGCCGCCAAATAGATTGAAAGAGGGTGTAGGGTTGAACGATTGAGGTGCTTGACCAAATAGTGTCGAGGCAGGTTTACCGTTGGCAGGAAATGGTGGGACAGCCCCAAATTGCGAAGCAGGCTTGGATACCTGTACAAAATTTAGTCAGATAAAGCTTCAAATTTGGTGAGAGTACCCAAGACTTTGAACTCAACTGATGCACCAGTTTTCTTTGGTAGGGCGCGTATCCTGTACAAATAACAGACAGGGCAAAGTGTGAGGGGGAACACTATTGAAGATATGACACTCGGTTCATTTGAGGAGATGGCAACACTTACTGTCTCTTGCTGATAGCCTGAAGAGATGCAGTTTTCAGGACTCCTGTGGATGGCGTCTAAATTGAGGAAGACTGGCATTAGTCACTGTGGAGCAATTTGTTTCGCGTCGTCAATAATTCCAACTCACGTCATCGGGTTCGACATCGTCACAATTCCTGAAGTGGGCAGGTGGGCAAGAACAAGAACAAGGGTGGATATTACTAAACCATAGGTTTTGATGGAACAAAGGAGTGGACATAAGGGGATCTGATGCTTACCGATCGGTTAATTGTTTCTCAGCTTGCCGTTTGACCATCGTGCTTGAGATGAATTGGGATTGATGGCTATGTATTTATGTAATTATATTGGAAGTTGATGTTGATCTTGAGTATGAATGACCCCTTCTTCAGATGTTGTAGTACGAATGGGAAGTAATCAAAGGATTGATCGAAAAGGAAGCTGCAAAGGAGAAGGATGGAAAAAAGCCAACAGAGTTTTGAAGCAGAATGTATGCAACTGCAACTGCAAAAGGGTCCCGGATTATGTAATCACCAACCCCCCTCATTCCTGCATACATACAACTAAAAAACCAATCTGCCTTCTACATGTCTTATATGATGCAGTATGTAGTGGATGACTTCCCGTCAACATCTGCGGGTCTCCCAGTTTCCATTTAGAGCCGAAAAAGCTAGATTTCCCTGCGAAAATCTAGACTTTTTGGGTCTAAATCGAAAACTGCGAGGCTCCCAGATCCGACGGGAAGTCCTCCAGTCAATTGGGTGCATGCTCTTTTGTGCTGATCATGGGAAATAGGACAAGAAGAGCATATTGTTGCAAGAAAATCTGTGAGTGATGTTTGAGTTAGACAGCTCGAGTTTCCTCATGATCAACAAGGATCAAAATCAAGGATTCATAAATAGGCAAATCACTTTATTTTGTTTGGAAGAAAAGAATTATAAAGGGTCTATATTGCAGGGCATGAAAATCCAATTTCTGAGAAAAATACCTTCCTCAAATTTTCTTATCGTCAGAAGTGACCCTTGCCAACAGCAAGTTTATGGCCTAAAAAGTGGAGAATTTCAGCAACAGGTCTCTTCACTTGTGTTTCATTTTCAAAAAAACAAAAAACAAATTCAGATTTGAATCCCATGGTAAGGGCCGCTATATCCTCAGTCTCACCCATTGAAGTTTGGTTTGTTGCTGCTTATTGTAGTAATGTTTAACGTTTTTATAGAGGCTTGGTTAATTGACTCCCAAGAATTGGAGAGCCAACTCCCAAACCCCAGATTCCCCAAAAAATCTCCTATTTTCCTTGGAGATTGGGAGTCAATCCCCCAAACCTGTCAGCGGATTTGGGAGTTGGAACTTCACATGTTTTAAATAAAAAAAAAAAATACCAACCCCCAAAGGAGTTGGGGGTCAATGCCCCAAAACCCACTGGGTTTTGAGGGTTGGCTAACCAAAAAGATCCCCCGGGAGGATTCCTCCAATGCCATCTGCTAAGGTCAGTTTTGACCAATTTGGCAATCACTGTATCTTTGATAGCAGTATCCTCAAAGTTGAGCATGGCAAAAAAATGATGATACTTCTTTGTAGTAGAATTGGCTTAATTGAATATTGGAAGTGTTTGTCATATTTTGTTTGGCTGTTCTTATAGATGGCCTACACATGACCAGGCAGGATGTAAGAGTGAAATCACCAGTCAATTCATCAAGCAAAAGTGGTGACAGATTTTGCTACAGATTGCTTGGTACACTCTCAATGGCCAAGAAAAACACTCTGAGCCATTGTGAGTGTACAGACTCAACAACTGAGAGAAACACCCATTGCTGGCCCGTTCACTGATAATGCACACTCATTGTGCAGTGGAAGCTGACCTTATGTATACCCTAAGCTTGGACAGGTGTTGGGTGTGAGCCTCATGATGTCATCTGTCAGCAAGTGACATCACTTTTTTGAATTTTTCATAGTGGGTGCTCAAGTAAACAATGAATTTTATGACTTTCCAAACTGCATCATTATTGACAAATTACAATATTCAGTAGGTACTGTAGGCTATTCAAAAGTGACAATTTTGGATCCCACAGGAAGGAAACACATTATGACCCTGCAGGTTGAGTGGTTTCTGCAAAGTCTTTAAGGCTTGAATGCTTTGTACTCCTACAAATGTTCAATTCTAGATTTCCAACCTGACAACTTTGATTTAAATTTCATCTCTCTCATAGCCAAGCCCTACCCTACAGACATTGTGCCTTGGGTGCAATTTTTCCCCAGATTTCTGGTCCAATTTCTCCTTTTGAAAGGTGGGGCAAGGGCAAGAATTACAAAAACTCAGGTTTTAGCATCTGTTTGCATTTCCACATGGTTTGCCTGGCCTAGCTCCCAATTCTTGGTTTTTGCAACCAATCACCAGTTAGATCTCCTCAGCTCATTCCCAAAACCTACTCCAGTCCACAGGTTGTGCAGATGTATATGGATTCACAGGGTCTGGGTCAGAGCCCTACTTGAGTCCAAGGGTAGTGCAACTGTTGATCAAAGATGGTCAGATTAATGCCCAGTTGCGGTATGAACTTCAACGATTATAAGAAGGATATCAGAGTTAGTGTATCATCAATGTTGGGCTGGAAAGTTTTTCATTGCTTTTTGTGTCTTCAGTAATTATGTTTCTAATGCTAAAAAAAAGCCAACTAGGATGCTTGGGAGAAATTTCTTTTTGTGATCTCTATCCACTCCTTCTCCAAATCTCCGATAGGTAAAAGAAAGAATTCTAGATTCCCCTGATCGCCCAAGCACAAACAATCACCGGACTGGTTCTTGGAGAGTGAGTTCAAGATTTTTCTGATGGTGAGGTTATTGCCACACTTAAGGATCCGACGCTTGGAAGTGATAAGGTAAAGATGATGGCTATCTGTCCCGCCACAGAGTGCTTCAAGATGAGCACTCATCAGATCATCCTCGTGCCATCGCAGTACCAGATCTCTCGTCGGATATTCATCTTTTGGTCTCAACACATATACAGGGTATATAAGTGGGATCTCTTTGATCGATTCGACTAGTTTGGCCGGCTCGACGTCCGTCGGAATCTCTTCAAAATGCACGGGCTCGAATCCTGAGGGTAGGCTCGATTCAGGTGGTGGAAAAGGACAATGAGTCGGAATAAGAATTCCACGTGACTAAAAAAAATTGATATCAGTCAGCCGAGCGCGACTTCGATAGATTTTCCCGGGAATTCGCTCAACTTGGAGTGCATCCTTTAATGCCTTTTCCAACACTTTCCGCCCCTCTTCCGCCGTTTCTTTCGCCTGTTTTTCAGCCTGACGATGAGCAATTTGGCGCTCAATATCTCCTTTCAGCTTTTTGGGTTCATCATCATTTGTGAGTCGGTCTCGCTGATCAATCGCCATTAATTTATTTAAACAATCTAACGCCTCATCGAATCGCTCGAGTGACGCCAAAGCCTTTGCACTACGAAAGAAGCATTTTCGCACCAGTTTTGTTGCAGGTACCGGGAGAGGTGGGCTCAGAACTGTGGCACAATCGGTCAGACAAGACCTGAAGTTGCCTGTGAAAGGTGGATCCAACCAAGGTAGGTCAAGCGCACGAAATCGTTAGCTTGAGGAAGGGTAATTCCAGTCTCCTTGCACGTATGACCGACCTAAGGAAAGATGGCAGGCTGCGCGGTTTGAATATATGGAATTGCGAAGTTCTTGGGGAATGTTGGTAGCAGCTGTTGATTCGGGTTCTGAGTGGGTAGTATCCGCAGGAGCTGGTTTTTCTAGTATTTCAACGGCTTGTTTGTAAAATCCAAGAGCTTGTCTGTAATCACGACATCCGAAGAGTTCATTCGCTCGTGCCTTGAGAGCTTCGAGTGACCGCAGCTTTTCGTCTTCGTCCTCGTCATAGATGAGAGCCTGGAGTGCCTCGATTGTATGATTGACAGGTGCGTTGGGGTCGGCTTGATTCAGCTCTTTGGGCAAGTCCTTCATGAACAGTGGGATGGTGTCCCATCCAGCCGCTTTCATTAGCTCATCCGTCCCGATGTCTTCTGGTGGTCGATTGGGTGGAGGCGATGGACCAATCGAAGGCGGACATGGTGCTTGTTGGCTCATCAACTTGTTACTGATAACGATACAAGATCTTTCCGAAATCTTTCCCAGTGGTTAGTCAGCAAGAAGAAGCTGGTCGACCTGGCACCCAATGCCTGATGGAAATTTCCCATTGAATTTTCAAAATGGAGAGTCACACACAGATCACAGAGCTATCACCAGGCGCCGCGATTTTCAAGCGCATGTCACGCAGTCATCAGGAACCACTCAGAAATTAGAATTTCGAACTTGATGGTCTGTTTAACGGCATTTATGGGGTTATAATTTCAATTCCTGACCTGCTCCGATAGCATTTCTGAGTGTGCAAAGTTGAAAAAAAAACTCAACTTCAACCACAAAAAATCGACCACTTTTCATCTCATCCAAATCAATTCTCCGAACTCCCTATCATCACCAAATAAGTATTTTCTAACCTTATCTCACCTAAAGACTTCCGCTTCCCTCCCTATCTCCCTCCCACCCCCCTCCTTCACCCCTATCTCCCACTTCCGACTCTATAATCATTGAGTTTTCCGATAAACCCCATCATAAAAGGTTTCAACCTTATCAGGCAAGGATAGCCAAAGCTATGCCCCCG